ATATACTAGAATACTCCGAGCCTTAAATTCTGCAACCACTGTTTAATCTTTATGACCATGACAATTAATATTCTTTATTAATCAAGAATCACTGGATTTGATAAAACGAAATGACAGAATTGCAGTTTAACTTTGTGCTGTTTTTGAATGCAAAACATCTCTCTAAATCATAAACATACTCAATCTGAGCACTGGATGTGCTATGCAACAAAATCAAACAACATGAAAAGACTTGCAGATATTATAAACATATCTTATTCTACATTATATAATTCACTAGCACTCTTTGAGTTCAATGTACTTAATGTTAGGCATCCTTCTTGGAGGAGTGCCATTGTTGGCTCCTGCTGTAATCAATACAGAAGGACAGAGAAGCAGTGTGATTTAGTTAAATTCAGATCTGTACTGCACTCGGAGGTGATTGTCTCTCTTATTGATAATAAAAGGAACTGAAGCATTGAATTGAGAGGTCTTAATTTCTGTGATATTACATAAAATTATTTCCTTTATCTCCTTCTTTTTTTTTTTCCTTTCCTTCTGTAACACAGTGTTCCAAGTCTGGAATTTTGTCTTGTTTGGACTAGATTGTTGTCTGAGTTTGTTGTCATTCCTACAAGCAAATTATTTTTATTGTTTGCTCCAGATGATAATTTTTAATTGGCATTGAGGCTACAGAATTGGTATGATACAGGAATTCTGTAAGTATGTTTGTGAAAACATCCTAATTTTCTGATATTGAAAGCACTGAAGAATAGGCAATGCTGAGATTTTCTCAGTGAGCTTTCAAGGAAGGTATGAGCAAAGTTCGTGCAGGCTTCATACATTCTTAATCTCATTTGTAGCCAACTTTCTTACAAGCTAATCATTCCACACTAATGATACATGACTAGCACTGATTTAAAAAACAAAGTCTTGAAAGATGATTCACTGTGTCATAGATGCCTGAAATAGTCATTTATTGTTATTTGTCTGACTGTAGAGTTTATGAAAGTAATTAGTATTGCATTTGGCAAGCAAAAGCAAACATCCATTAGCTAAATGACAAAATATATATTTTGACTATCTTTGTCACTTTCACTAAAACTCTATTAACAGTAATTGCTGAACAGCGTCATAAAGGAGGACACTTCTTTTAGTGTACTCATAATTGGGTGGGAGAACACTGAGGTATTTAAAGAAATAAATTATTGATAGCCTAACCTATCTTTGGAACTAAAAGAGAGAAAAAAAATCCATGTAGTAACCTGTAAACTGCAGATACATGGAGTTATGCTTATGAAGTGACTGATCTGCAGATAGTTTCTCGGATCCATAAACAATTGTCATTAAAAAAAAAAAAATACAATATATCACAAATTTTATGTGATTATTCTTTGTTCTGTAAATTGCCAACTGTATTCAAAATTATATAAAGCCTCCTGCTAAATTCTAAGTTAGAAGGATAATTTATAAAATGATTTTCTAAAAACTGTAAGATTAAACAATTGACTGTAAACATATTAATGTTTTATGTTTTAATCTGAAGCTCATATCTGAGTTATAAGACAGGTTGGAATATGTCTACTTGTGTTACTATCACTTAGAAAACTCCTGAGGAGATGCAACTGATGTTTTTGATGACATTGCATGGAGCCAACTTTCCAGTGAGATATCTGCTTTTGTAGAAGTTCAGTTATTTTGAAACATATGTGCACTTAGTAGCAAAGTTGACGAGAAGGATGTTTTCTGTAAGTATTTCTGCTTCAATGTAAGTAATGCAGAACCCTCCAACTAGTCTATAAGGTAAATTTTTGTGGAGGAAGTTGGTCAATCAAATGAAATGCTATTGTCTACACACTAGAAGAACAAGTGAAAATGTACAGTTACTAGACACATCTAATCCTCTCCCTCCATGGTAAAGCACTGCAAGGTCAGAAGGTCTAGCCAGCTTCTTCATCAGTGTTCTGAGTGTTCTGAGACACTTCCAAATGACTGGGGACTGAATGCTTCCTCACATTTATGAAAACATGATTTCAACTCTAATACATTGCACAGAGGAATGCTGCTGCTCACCAAACTTGTATATATACAAGGATGAGACATAAGCATCCTCTGACAAATATCCTCTTATTCTGTAAACACATGAGCTCTCAGAAAGGAGAATATATATAGTATATCTTCTATAGTAAAATTGTGCTTTCAGAATTGTCTGTGACAACATATCAGTTCCAATAGCCTTGTCCGCATGCAGCTATTTTGTACCTCTTGCAGAACTACAGAGTTCTGCTGATAGACAAAAAAAAAGTAGAGAAAGTAACTACTTTTCCATCTCAAGCACCCAGAAAAAAAAAAAAAGAAAAAAGAAAAAAAAGAAAAAAAAAAGATTAAGTACAGTAAAAACACACTCAAAAACAAAATTAAGGAACATATCCTGTAAGTACTGATTACTGAATAGTACTTATGTTTCAGCATTTGTTTTAAAACTTCTCGTAGAAAAGATCATCCCCAGAGTTACTAAAGCTTTCAGCGTCTCTAGAAGCAGTAAAAGAGCACTTTTTCTATGCTTCCTCAGTGCACCATTCTAACCAAGAAGGTAAAAACAATTTAAGTAGAAAGGGGAGTCTCTCCTGGACTTCTTATAAAATGGCATAATTCCTGTATAAAGTAATGTGTTCCTTTTCCTATGTGTCTGCTAAAAAAGCATGATTTTGAACAGAAAATTACATAGACTTCAACCGGTGTTCCTATTGAAGCAGATGGTCAAAGCAAGTCTGCCAACCAGCACTTGGGATGTAGTGTTACAGTTTAATTCATACAGTGCATTGAACTCATTCTTTCATTAACTGTAACAGTTTTGCATTACTGTGGCTCTACTATTTCTTGAACCAAGGTAGTATCTCTAAATGTCACCAGAATGTCTTTATAACAGGCTGCTACTAATTCAAAACCTTTCTTTTTGCATTGTTTTTACTGCACATATAGATCAGACTGTTTCTGGTCCTGGGTTTTAGAGGGGGAATTCAGTCACTCAGTTACAACTTGCTATTGTAAAAAGTATGAGAGAACAGCTTGAGGAAAGCTATCCTCAAGTAGGCAAATTCCAGAAACAGGCTTTGTTCTTCTTTCAGCATGAAAAAACTCATGTAATCTCTAAAACAAATCCTGTAAAGTGATGTAAAGTGAGATACTGCCTCAAATTCACAACGGATATAACATAATAGAAGACATTAAGTTGATTTTGACTGTTTATAGAGAGTTTTTTATATACGTGTAAAATACACTCTATAATAGAAGTTCATAGATGGGTAAAAATAGTATAAAACACAATTATATGTGTTCCTATAAGTAAAAATAACTGCTACCTAAACAGATTCCAGCATTAGGCAAGCTGCAGGTACTTGAACATCTATTTTTGGTAATTCCGAAAGTATTTCATTTCCTTAGTTATTGCATTAATGGGTGTTTTCATCCTATTTAGCTTATTTGGAAGTCTAGCAGGGTCAATACTAGGTCACCATAATCTATAATAAGCTCATATCTATGACTGTTGAGACAAGACATAATACCACAGGTGAGCTTGCCATATTCTGCATGTTTTACCGTCAGTTATCAAAATGCCTGGTACTGAGCATGACGTTCATTTTAGCTGCATTCATTAGCTGATATCCTACCAAGCAGGGAGGATCACAGTGAGTTCTTAGGAAACATTATTGTTACTAGCTCACCAGAAATGGCAGCGTTTGTCATCGAATTTTGTGGCTTTAAGACAAAGGACCATTCATTTAATCACTGACCAGAACAAACCTATATTCTTCAGTAAAGAGTAGAGAACTGAGAAAGTGTTTCTCAGGACTGAAAAAGTGTTGTTTTACTCTGTTATTAACAAAAGACTTAAGGCAGGATCTAACAGTGGACGTCAAGAGCATTCTAGAGAAATAAGATGAGTAAAAATCAAATCTCTTTCTCCGAAATGTCACGACAAAACTTCATCTGTGCACTATCCCAAAGGCACCCTGTCTGGCAAAATTTCGTTTAGGGATTGTTAACCCTTTCCAAAAAGGTTCATCTCTGTTCACTGCCCTCTTGCATACCATCTCATAACACACATATTCTTTTTACTCTTGCTTTTCTCCATATATGACACTCAGATCTCAGATACTACTGCTGAGAAATTTCTGTTTGCTAAGTAACTTCCTAAGCTACGCTACCACCTCTGCCTTTGTGTGTGAACATAGTTATGTCTGTGCTCAGTAATTTCAAAGACTCAAAGACTTTTGCCTCCAGCTCTGTTCAACTGTAGATGTATAAAGCATAGTATAAAACTGTGACAAAAAAGTAGTATTTCCTATGAACATTTTTCTAGCTGCCAATAATCTGCAGCTCTTTCATTTTAGGAACTTAGTAGATTTATATTTATTACTGTCAAAATACTTTTCTCTGTGCTTCCAGAACCTTTATAAACTTAAAAGTTTTTGAGATCTTGCAACAAAGTTCCTCATAGTATTACATTCTTGTTGTTTGAACCTACCATCCAGTGCTTTCTGTAATCTAGATTAAGAATATTTACTTTCTGTAAATAAGATTATTACTACTTTCTCCCTTTATATCTTATGACTGGACTGGGTAAACTGAGTGATAAGTCTGAGATTTTTTTTGGCCTTCTTCTGTCTATCCCTCCAGTAAGAGAATTATTACCTTAGTCTGGGTACCTTCATTGGTTCTCTTCAAATTCAAATGACTTTTTCACTGAGACTTCCTCCATCTATTTCTCCTGTGTTTTTGCATGATATGTTTCCTTCCTAATTGTGAGAATGAGACCCTCTCCCATGCATGCACATTCTATTTCCAAATCCAGTGTATCAGGGCTCTAGCTGTACTCAGTGCTGAGTGGTATTTGCATTGCAAGTATGTTATTATTTTAATTTCAACATGTGATCTCCACAATGCCTATTTTATCACCAGGTACAAAAGTGAGAAAAGTCAATATATATAATAAAAACAGAAGGATTTTGGTCACTTACCAAGTGAAGATAAGACACAGTAAAGTGGATATTAAAATGAGGACTTGGTTAAACATTGCAGACTGTGTACGTTGGATGGCTCTGTGAAGATCATTCTGCATTAATAGAAAATAGCTGTTATTTTTGGCTTTGAATTAATGAAGCATGAGCTGATTCTATAGAATTACATGGAGTCCTAATAAAATTCACTCATTCAAATCCACTTAAAATTTGCTGATCATGTGGAAGGGTGCAAAAGAACCAGCTGTGACTCAGTGATTGTTTAACTAGTTCTTTGTTCATCCTGGCACAATTCTGATACTACTGCAAGCTGCCTTAAAGTTTATCTGTTCATATCTAGCTTATAAATTACAGGCTGTGAAGACTAATTAAGGCATAGCAGTTGAGTTCCCTGTAATTGCATGTGAATGCATAAGTAGCTAAAAAACTAGCCATTGTAACTTTCCCTCCTAATGGGCACTGCAACAATTTATACTAATTTGAGATTTCATTTCATTATTTTTTTTTTTCTAATTTTGATGGAGAGAGTAGCTTTAGTAATGCTTGACCATTTGTGTACTATAACTACAGATCTGGTTAGCTCGCTAGAAAAGTTGGGCAGAGAACTGTAATGCCAGAATCCCAGTTAAAGTAATACATTAAAAAATAGAAAATACAAATTAGTTCTTTTCTTTATCATACTTACAATCATATTCTCCAAAGCATGCTTTGCTAGCCAACAGTTTAAAAAAACAGGAATAAACAGGTTTCTTAGGACTGGCCAGAAAATCTGAACAAATTAAAAATGGAAAATGAACAAATTAATTAAAAGACTTCTATTCAAGAAAATAGCAGCAATGAAGTACTCAGGAAAAATATATCTTTATGAACTGCATGGAAGACAAAATGATTAAATACAATATATAGAGTCAATATAGAGTTACAAATACTGACAAATAGATATTCTTTGATTTTTATGTCTGACTGTTTTATCTTATTGATTGTGTTGTAATTCGAGTTAGGGATCTGTTGGTTGTTTTGGGGGGATTTTTTTGCCTTTTTTGGGGAAAAAAAATGATGTGCACTATTTCCTTTAAGTAAAAATCTGCCTTGTTGTTGTTGGCTAATTTCAGTTCCTACGAGCACAATTCTTTCATCCACACAGAATTCACTTGCACCTCAGTGAAGAGTATTAGTGCAAATGTAAAAGTGTAATATGTATTAATTCAAATAGTTTTACCGTAATGATGAAAGGGACAGCGTTTATTATTTCCAGCAGGAAGGGTATTCGCAGAATTTGTTCCCAGATATTTCCCTTCAAAGAAAAAGAAAAAACAATAAAAAGCATGTCATAGTAAGTTTGCCTACGCATCTGGGGAGGAATATATAAGATATTCAAATGCCAAATACATTTATCTAAATAATTGAATTTAATGAAAAGCATTTGTCCTATAGATTTAAACACGTGTTAAATGTGAATATAGAAAACAGGATACTTTGGCCTATTTTTTCTTTCTGTTTATTATAATTTACCTCACACATATACTGTTCAAATCTATATTTTTACTACAACAGATCCTTGCATCCACATGACCACATATTTTCATACTGTGGCCTAGTTAGTAAAACAGCAAAGAATGAAAAATTCTAATTGCATTAACTAGTCAACTCATTATGTCAGCTAATGAAGAGCTTCATTAAATTAAGTTTCTAATTTTTTCGAAGAGTAATTTCTGTTTCCTCGTATTGCATTTTTAGGTACCTTGGAATCCTACACAGAGATCATCTGGTTTTTTTATTCTTCCAACATTGGTTTACTTTAATTTTTGCATGCACGCTTACACATAGGTAAGGAGATAAGGTTCTTTTCCTAACAAATTGATTTTTAATAATTCTGGTTTTTGCTGGAACCCTCACGCAGCACAACCTGCTGGTGAGTTCTGTCTGCAGCTGTTTTCTTTCTGGTATTTGGTTTTTTTCTGAGACATCTTTAAATCTCTAAAATCCTACACTGTCATACTTTAGCTTTTGGTTGTTTTAAAGTTTTTCTCACTTTAATACTTATTATTTAAGACTGTCTTAAAAACTAGAGACGAAATTCCATTGTAGTATAAGAATTGTAGAGATAAATGTGCAAAGCACGTGCCCTACTCAGAAAATTTTATATTGAATCAACTGTTGTGATTATCATCATGCACAGCTAACTGTCCTATGGTTCATATTGACATTTAGTATGAATAATGAGCTGCTCTGCTTGCACTTCTTATAAAAATTTCATTTCAGAATATGCAAGATCAAAATTCTCTATTTTTGTCTCAAACACTTCAATACGTTTCAGGGCCTGCTTTTTCTTGATCTTACACAAAATTAGATGTTTTCCCACGTAATTGAATGGAAGTGGTACAGGTTTCTTGATCTGCTTACCACTAGCTATGGAGTAGGAAAAATACTGGTTTTTTCCCACATCTGAGCAGTAACTGTAGTAATTAGATGTTTAGATGAAGATTATAAATTTAAGAAAGAAGGTAATTAAAATTGAGTGTCTTACAGGTATACTAACTGTATATACTGTATATCAATAGTCCATCATAGATAAGGGAACAATGCTGCCTACATAGTATTGCAGTGATTTGCCACTACAGAATCATTATATTTTCAGTTTCATCAATAAATTAATGTTTCCTGTTAAAATGACCATCTGATATAGTAACTGAAAATTAAATCCAATCTGCATTGTAAATAACATTCTTTCTCTATTTCTAATTTTTCCCTTTTATATCTGGATGCCATTGTAGCTACAGGCAGGGATTTTTGTCTTCTATGTAATTGTCTTCATAATTGGTGAGAGTTAGACATACTTGAATAATCTGTAATATTTTGTATGATAACAAGCCCCGTAAAGAGAAAATTGTGAGAATAAAGAGAAAAGAGAAATTGTGAGACTGTAAGCCAAATTTTTATTGTTGGAACAATAAAATGAAAATAATCCACTGTTAAAATGTGTACTAATAGCAAGGAATCATAAGGAATATTTCAGAAAACTGGCACTTTCTTAGCATCTGTCTTGTTAGGGGCTGCATCCCAGAAGAGGCATGTCAGAGATGCTGTACTGAGTGAAAAAAGCAGCATATGCTACAGCTTTGGATACAGTGGAGATAGGAATCAGGCAACTGAAAGAACTTACCTTGTAGCTAAGATAACTCAGCAATAGTGTTTCAAAGAGACTTATTAAAGCCACTGAAACCTTAAGTGAAGAGAAAAAAAACAATTTACATTAATACCATTTTCTAAAGAATATGATATAAAAGATCATATTGAAAAGGAAATGCTATGATTTTCCCTGCATCTTCTGAATTCATCTCAGCTAACAGCATTTAGCATGAAACTTAAATAGTATTGTTTTTCTGACTAAAGTGTAGCCTGTGACTTGAGTCCCATAGGTCTTTTCCAGACACAACGTTCCAGAGAGCCTGCAGTGTGGCATTTCCATGGCTTTTAGGTATTCCAGCAGTCAGCCAGACTGTTGCTCAAGTTTCAGTTGTCTGTTCATGAAAACTATCAAGATCCTTTCAAAAGACAGAGATAGGAAGCAGCAGAAACAAATAACAGAAGCTAGACAATTCTTTACTTCTCTGTAAAGATGTAAAAAATGTGTAGAAAAACATTTTTCTAACTGTGTATAATCGAGAAATTTTAAAACACATTAATCATTATTATTTTAATTTTTGAATTCAACTGATTTTACCATGTCAACTTTCACTTTAATTATATATAGTACATTATATAATATAAAATATTTAAATAGTCAAATATCAAAATTGTAAAAATTTTACTTAAAACTATAAATTGTACTAAATAACCACAAAAATTACTTTAATACTTTGCACAACAAATATTTGGATTTTAATGGATGTTACAGGGAAAATCTATCAAGAATATGTACAATAGCAACTGGATCTGAAATAAAATAAGTTGCTGGAATTTTAATTTTGAATTAATGCTCACTACTAAGAATCTAATGCTCACTAATTCAGAAGAGTGCACCATTTGCAAATATAATATCCTTACCTAAAATTAAAACTAATGCTACAAAGCAGAAAATTGTTTAAGTATGCCACCAAAATATAATGCCAGTTTTCCAAATAAGTAGCAAAGCTTTATATGAAATTACATTGTACCTGAAATAAAAAGAAGTATCTTTTTTCAAGTATCGTATATATCCTACTGTGAATGCATTTCTATATATGTATATGTATACAAAGCCACATGTATAAATTCCTATGTTTATTAAATCCAAATATTAGAATAAGTTTCTAATCATAACTTAATATGGATAAAGATGTGGAGCAACGCTGAAATCATTCTTCCCCTTCCTCAGTTACCAACACAGTAATCCTATGAGCACTTTGCATTCCTTACAAAGAAAGGCCAATTGCACCTGACCTTCTGCATTAGGTTTTAATATCACTTGACTGTAGTGCTGTCCATGAAAAAAATGCCCACACTAAGGTGAGCATTTCTAAGGGCTAATGGGATGTGTTTTATAATACACACTTCTAAACATCCGGCCTTCTATATTATGAAGTAATCTTAGCTTTTTAATGGATTTGACATGAAAGTAAAGGAAGTACATGATAAAAAAAAAATACTAGTCATAAGAAATCATGAAATTTAAACTCTTCGCTGTAGAAAATATTAGACTACTCAACAGAGCTTGATAATTCTACAAGTAAAAACTGTTCAAATTCCACAATATTTTGCTACAAACTTTCATACTTTATAAATATATGATAAAGGCATACAATTTAAACTAGGTAGCTGAGATCAGCTTATCTTTCCTTTATGGTTTTGTTGTGTTTGTTAATCAAGTAGATTTCTTTAATTTTTCCATATATCATTTAATATCACCAAAATGCTGTAAATCAATATTGCAGGTAGTAAAATTGGCCATTTACTTATTACCTGTAATCCCCATAAAGGCAAACTTCGATTCACCCAAATAATAGGAGACCTGTTCATTGCAACACAAGAACAAACATGGAATTTAAATAAATCAAAAGAAAAATAGAAAAAAGAATTGTACATATCAATGGAAATTACAGCAGTCTTATATTAAAAAAAATAATAAGTAGTAAAGATTTAAAATCAGTAGATATCTACGGAGTATTAGCAATTTTTCTTTCTGTTATAGAGTCAATCACTAAATTCACATGGGAGTAATCCAGTACCTCGTGACACCAAAATGTTTTATTGGCTTCAGTGGCTGCTAGATCATCCCCCATGATTCTAGGAAGACTAAAGCAGTTTGAGATTTTGATTCTAGAGATGCAGAGGAGCCATTATTTGTAGCAGGAAAGAGAAACTTGACCATTCTTTTGTTTAATTTTTTTTTTTTTTTTCCTGTGTAATGATTTAAATGGTATCTATATAATAAGAACTACATATTTTGGAAAAATACCATGTTGTTTTAATATTTACTAAACCCAATGATACTTGATAGAGTGCTGCTAGAATCTGGTACTCTCAGTGGCACAGTAAATTACTGTTATTTACTGCTAGTCATAATTTTTTTCTAAATAATAAGGGTGTCTATTTTTTTTATTTCAGCAAGATATATAGACATTATGGGAATTCAGAGTTTACAACAGCATGCAATCTAGCAAGTCTGTTACATAATCAAGAGGAATAATTAGAATTTTAAAGGCGGTTTTGAATATCAATGAAGTTGAAAGTAACTGATGGGTTTTATAGAAATGTCACCATGATATATTAAAATATCACCATTCCAGACAAAGTTGATTTGTCTTCCTGTCCCAGCCTCCCTCACACAATTATGTGGATTTTTTGTTTGCTTTTTTAAATGAGGAACTCACCAATCAATTGTTCCGGGTGTGTAATTTTGATTGTAACAATCCCGGTTTAATTCCTTGCTGATAGTTGTCATCACATCAGTGCAAAGTCCATTTTCATTAGCAAATGCACATGGGAACACAATCATAAAAACATACAGGGGAAAGGCATATTAGTTACACTATTAACTGTAAAATTTTATAAAATTCATGCAATAGTTTGAAACACTAGATGATGAATATAAACATTTTTAAAAGTAAAATAGTTTTTTGAATGTAGTTCTGGATGTGTTCTGTATCCATAGAAAAATACTGTAAAGCACTTCAGGTTACATTTTTTAAGATTTATTTTCAAACATGGTCTGATTTGAAAAAAAAATAACTCAAAGTATACTTTGAAAAGCTGAACCAATAACAGTATATATTGAAGATCTAGAGATACTACAAGCCATATCACAAAGCTAAGTTGGGCTTAGCTTTGATACTTGGGCCATATCACAAAACTAAGTAGAAAGACCAAATATACTTGTCATACTCTCAACAGCAAAGACTGCATCACGCTACACTTTGTCTTCTCTTGTGAGGATGTAAGCTGGGTTGCAAAACTAATTAGTGTAAGAAACTGGTGACCTTGATATAAAAAAAAAATAGAGCTGTTCTGTGCATGTGATGTTATTTTACCTTGAATTCCTGGTACAAATCCTCCTTTCAAATAGTCATGCAAAGATGTGGAAATTTTTGTGTAAATTTCCTTGTTTGTCCCTGGCACCTTTTCTATGAGTGAAGTGGGACTTCCTACACAATTTTGTGCCCACAGTTCTTCCCAGAAATGATTTTGGTCCTCTGTTAATTAACTTGGACTTCAAAGAATTCTTGCTTCTGATATTGAGATCCAGGAGATTCATGTAAGGACATCTGTATAGCACAGCAGTAGGTAAACTGGCAGGTCAGCCAAAAAAGAAAGGGAATCTAATAGCTGCATTCTTACAGGTTATGAATAAGACAAATGCTAAATGGTATGCATTAATAAGGACGTTTTATATCTTAAGCTTTGCTGGGTACATCTGGTTTGCCTGAAGGAATAAATGAAAAATACTGACTTGTGCTAAAAGAGAGGAAATAATTCTGTAGTGGGAGTCTATGGTGAAAAGCATTCCTCTCCAAACTGTAATTTTAAGATCAACCACATGATAGTGCTTTATACGATCACTATGATAGTGCATGGAGTAGTTTCACTCATTAGGCTGTGGCATTTTTTTCACAACATTATTTTTTTCACAACGCAGCACTTGTAAGGTTGCTTTATGGCAGTGGTTTGGTATGAAGCCCTTGGGATGTGTATGTGCAAAACTATTGACAAAATGAGGTACTATTTGGGTACAGGACTTGTTTTTCTGGGAAGACAAACAGACTTTAAAGTCTGGTTCTTCATGACCACATAGAAAACAATTACATGAAACTTTTCAGCCAGGCAAACTTTATACAGTAATAGAACTGTCTAGTCTATTAATGTCCCATAGCTCAATACAATGGAGTGCTGTACAAAAAACAAACTCTTAACCAGTGAATTATTAAATGTTTAGAAGGAACAAGGAACAAACATATCAGGAAAGGACTGCAGAATTAAGCAGTCTGCAAAATACAAAAAGATCTCTGCATATGAATACAAAACTATTGAAATACTCTTGCCAGTAGCAGAAGTGCTGCTGTTCTAATCAATTCCACATACTCAGTTATACCATTTCTGTCAAATACACTCATTGGAGCTCCCTACAGTTCTTAGAAGCTCTTAGAAGAAGATGATATAAACAGTTTCTTCATGTCTGAAGCTCATTAGCCACAAAAAACATCTGAACTATGGGTTTCTTTTCCACAAGAAAATTGCATTACATTAAATTGGATTCATGAAGTCCAATTATACTTTGTTATGCAATCCTGCTTCAAACTTCAATACCAAGTGCATTATTTATTCAAAACCAGAAAGAATATCATTGTTTCAATTTTTGCAATATGCTTGGATTTGAGATTTATTTTTTTAAGTTGTATTTATGGAAAACTGTATGCAAATTAATACAGCTGCTCTGTACTGTTACAGGGCATATTATAAGGGTATGCAGGGTATATAAAATATTATTCCCTTCTCAGTGCCTTAATGTTCAAACATCTCCCTCATTTCATATTACATGTCTTTTCAAATCCTGAAATGTTACTGCTACTCACTGTGGAGTGACAAACAACATCAGCTTTAGAATCCTGTATAGTGATTTTATAAAAATTCTATTTTTTTTTCCTAGTCAAACTATTAAAAGCAGCAACTTGAATAATACCGTGAGACTACTCTCTAAAGATCAGATCAATTTTTATCTGTTACTACATCTTACAATATCACATTGATAACACATTCTGAAATAACATACTGGGAGAGGACAATTGACTACATTGTTCAATTAGACACAAAAAAATCAGCAGGACCTTATCCAGGTCACATATTGGCTGTTGAGACTTAGTGCCACAGGAAGCCACTGCAATCTTTACAATTTTTCAATGGCATGGTCCCTATTTGATTGCTGTGATCTATTGAAAACATTAAAACACAGTTTTGGCAAACTCATTTTCAGTGAAACAGTTTAGGGGGTGTACATATGTGCATACATGTGAGACAGGCAACTGTGCCCACCAGCTACAGACAAGCAGGAGTTTTTCTCATTGAACTACTCAAATGTCCTGTACTTCTCTTTTTCATATAAAGACAGCATTCTTCATGTAAAATTCATACTCTTTACACAGTAGGGTCCAGTCACACTATCAGTAAGTCATTTAAGGGCACTTTAGTGTTAATGATAGGAAGATGCTGTTCACCTCAGCAGCTTAACATTTGTTTTGTGATTGAAAAGATGGCCAGAACTGAATTAAGATATATTTTGGCCTATACAGAATATAACTATTATTAGGAAGCATTAGTGTTTTCTGCTTTTCAGATTCACAGAGGAAACAATAATTAGTTTTAAATACTTCTTTATTTATCCTAACTCACTATAAAATGCTTGGGAAAAGTTGATGCAAAAGTACTGATATTTTTTGAATGGAACATTGAGTTTCAGCAAAATTAACATTTATCTTCTTAATATGATAAGAGAAGTAAAAGGATGCATATTTTAAGCGCTTTAGCTTTGTGATATGAAGACTAATTTGAGAAGAAACTAACCTCAAGGAGGAGAAAAGAACAGGGTTGTCTGGAAAGCTGAAGAAGGCTGTGTGTTAAGAAAATTTCAAGTTCCTGACTTGCTGTGGTGCAGTGTCTAAATTTCAGAGATAATTTTTTCTTTATCAGTGCTCTGGTTTTGAAGACTGCTACTTGTTTCCACTCTACACACTCCCTCTCCTTGAAGAGACATTTAGAGATACACGCGGAGTCAAAAAATAACGTTTTTTGCAGTTCTTGCGTTTCAAGGGAATTTTTTTTCTGTTCTTTTTTCAGATGTTCTGATTTCTTACAAAAAGTTTTGACAAAAGATTCTCAAATGAATTTTCTGTACTTCCTATTCACACATCCCACTCTCGTGTACTGTTGAGGAAAGTCTATTTTCTTTAACTCACTTTTCTTTGGAGTTGATTCTTGAAATCCTATGCATTAGCTTTTCTAGAGCATTATCCTATATAGTTTTAATGAATTTCAATCAATCTTCAAATTAGAATTCATACTTAGTCCTTTGCCTAACATTGTGTGAAGAGTGCTAGTTCTGACACCTTGAGCTTTTGAGTATTTGTAGCCATGCTTTGTTTCATTCAGTATTTAAGGCTGACAGAAGCAAATCAAGGGAATGCAAGTAAGTTAATTGAAAATGGTGTTCATTATCACTCAGGATTGATAATATTCAGTATTTCCATGATATATATGCAATCAGAGCAAAAGATTGCATAAATTATAAACAATACATCAGAAAAAAGCTGAGTATCCAGTGGCCTATTTGGAATCTACTGCCAGCTGTAGGTATTTAAAAAATTGTGCATTGAAATGATGGAACATCATGGGTACATAATGTACTTTTATGAGTACATAATGTACTTTTGGTCTCCCCCTTCTCTTAAGTGTTTAGAGAATTAAGAGGGCTAGAAAGTTATCATCAGCATCATCTGTGTGAAAGCTCAGTTTCACGTATTTGTCTAATTGTGTCCAGGATCTAGAATCTTAAGTAAAACAGCTAATATTTCAATATTTGTGCCATAGTTAAGTCAGAACTATATACAATACTCTTCTTATTTCCAAATTATATTGAAAGGACTTTGCATTTAGGTGTCTGAGAACTACTGCATAGCAACACAAATTTTCTCTGGCAGGAGAGTTAAATTTCTAATAAATTAGTACTGATTAGTAGATGTTCTGCCAGCTGAGGCATCAGAAAAGAAAGAAAAAAGAAAAAAAATAAAGCTGCTACCTAGAGCTATTTCATTTACAAGAGTACAAGAAGAACAGTGATCCTTAACAGCTCTGAACCATCCCAGCTGATGTGGAAGCTAATTCTGCATAGCTCCTATCCTACATTTTATAACCACAAAATATAGAATCCTTGTTTGGTAGATTTATTCTCTGGGAAGACAGTCATAGTTCCCACCAAAATATTGTTCCTTATTCATTTCTTCATAAAATTAATTTATTTTATATATGTTTAACAATGTTTTGAGAGAACAAGTAACAAAACAAATATTACCATCCATGTCCTTGTGTAGGGTCATCCAGAAGCACACGAATTATGTATAAGAAACAGCTTAATAGCTTAAGTGAAAAATTGAATAACCGTATTCTCAGACCTATTTTGAAAGGAACAGAAAGAAATTTAGACTGTTTACAGTTTCATTAACTTTTAAGGTAAAACTAAAAGGAACTAAAACAGCCATGATAGAACAGAGCAAAAGTCTATCCAGCCTGTACCTGACATTGCCCTTTGGCAGAAAAATATATGAATATGCCTGTCAGATGCACATAAAATACAATTTTCCAACTTCCAGAAATCTCTGGATTGAGATTTGATCCCTTTTAAAGTGGAAATCTAGACAGTTGTTTTGCTTGAAAGCTATTCTAAACCATCTCTTGTTCCTTGGATCTTTTGTAGTTTTACAAATTCCTTCTCAGAAGGGGAATCAGAATGACATACAGTATTTGAGATGCAAGATACAGTAGCATGAGGAAGACACACTTTCAACCACAGGCAGAAGATATCCAATGGCAATTATTTAAATATTAATATCTGACAGTCTTTATGTAGTAGTTTCTCATACAGAATACATTAATACTGTCCTAACATAAAATATTAAACTGTAGATATTTAATGTTGAAGTTGCATAATTAGGAATCCAAAAATCAGGATGTCTGAAAGTCATGCTGAATGCACAACTTTAACTGATTCAACAGCTTCTTCTATGGACCATATGAATACCGAAATGTTCTGTATAATAGATCTCAAATACTAAATACTATCACAGAATATTACATTATGTCTTGCAAACCATAGGTTTACTGCATAGAGAAAGGATTCCTCCAAAGGAACCCAGGTGGACAGTTGGTTCTGTCACACAGGCATTTTAGTTTGGTGCTAATGGGAGACATTGAATACTACAACAAAACTTGATTGTATTTTAATGAAGCTTTGGAGTCATTGGAGGATTAGCCTTTCAATCCTCAGTCTTGTTATTAGTTTTAAAATTAATGAGGGAAGGCAATCTTAAGCACTATTTTTTTTTCAGTCATGTGAACCAGGAGTCCAATTCTGTAGAGCTGAGAGGCCTTCTTCCAAAGCAGAACATTAATGACTAGGTCTCACATGGATCTTATTTCCTTTGCACCGAGTATATTTTATTTTTGAATTGCAAGTACGGTATCAAACCTGCTGAACTAAATATAACTGTTTCTATGATTTGGGAATGACAATCTCATCAAGCATACTCAAATTTATGTCCAAACGTCCTATGAAGCTGCAGTTATCACACAAGAACTGGGTGAACTTCTACAGCATTTCATCATCTGTAAGCTAAGGGTTAAAATCCTGTGCTTAGGTCTTGGCCAGGAGAAGTCCCACAGCTGTTAGAGTGTGTTGCTATCCTATTATTTGACCAAAAAGTTTTTTATTTTTTCAACTATGCTATAATCTTGTACATTTTTGAACTGTTGGTGAAGAAGACACAAATTCTTTGTCTATGCTAATGATTTTATGGAAGACTTCTGGAAGGCTACTGTAACAATCAAGCCATTAAAGAAAAGAGCAGATAACCGAAAAACAAAAGAAGACAACAAAAAAGCACACAGAATTCTTTTCCCTATCCATTTTGTGTTATCAAAAGTTCATCACTTGTTTCTTCTGTTCCTTAATTCTGTAAATGTTTATCTTGATGTTAAATGCCTCTTTTTTGTATTGATAATGGGCCAACTTCTCATAATTGTTTGAATTTATTGTTGTCCTAAATTCCAAAAGAAAACAGTGCTTTTATGATTTCAAAAACAAATCAGTACATAGCACTCATTCTCCTGGCTGCTGCCTTAAATCTTAACTCTCAAATCTTGGTCTTGAAAGATTGAAAACTGCTTACATATTCAATATTAAAATTCTCCATACTATAAAATTCTCTTCCATACTATAATTGAAAGTGCTTCATTCTGAATATCTCAACTGGGCTGTTTCCCATAAAATGAGGCATGGTTTTCACTCCTTATAGGCATTTGTGGAAGGCCTCTAGGCATGACAAAGAGCATATATAGTAGTCTGGGTTACATGGACAGGGCAGACAATAGGATCTGTCTATGATAGGAGTGTGGTTCGGGCATTACAGAAGTAATGTAGAACAGACTTCAGGTGTATCTTCTGCTTCAGCTTCTGGATATACCCTGACAGAGGAAGTGCATTTGGTCACTCCTGCTAGAGCTGTAATAATTCATGTAAGTAAATATTTGCAGGTCAAAATATTCTGTAGCCTCATAGTTAGGGATGTCATCTATGAGCTGGAAGAAACACATTTGTTCCACTGTTATGGAGATCTAAGATTTCACACCAGAGGAGGAGGAGGCAGTCACCAGAAGGCTGGAATTTAAAATAGTTTTTCATTTATTACTTTCTTACAAAGAAAGTATTTCATACTTCTGGTTTTCTGGTTGACTATTTTGGTCCTGTACTTTACATAAACTGCTTGGTTTAATTTCTTTTTCCTTTTTTCCATTCACAGATTGTTCAAATAGCAGAGTCATTTACACAAAATATCTCAGCTTTGATATTGATGCCTGAAACTTGTATTCAGCTATATCAATCATATGCTGTTATGAATAGTTTAATGAGATTATAATTCTACCTTGTCCCTGTAAGCGTGATGTTACATGTGTTGGCTTCTTCAAAAGAAGAAATTGGCAAGAACAGTTCCAAATCTGTTTGTTTTCTGAAGTAAAAGTAACTATATAAAACTGAGAAGGAAACATGAACATTTGAACAGGTATCTTCTATCGTTTTGCCAGCAGTTTTAAGTATGAAGTAATAGAATACCTGATCAGGTATAATGCAATTCTTTTTTTATTATTACTTTTTCTTATAACTTCTTGGTACTACCACTACAAGCATTTTCAGAGATAATTCTCCAGTCTGAAAATCTGATCTACCTCAAAGCAGGGCTGATAGGGACAACAGCTGAAAATTTTACTATCGCTTTCCATTTTTATTTCCTAATAAATCTCCAACGCTGCTGGCTTTTAGCAAAGTCATCTCAGTAGCAATTGGCTTTAGGAGTTAAATCACAATATGCTGTTAATAATTCATATCCTGATGACAGTTATCTGTTTTATACTGTCTCCAGTGAATTGAAAATTCACTTATTTTTTCCTTTGAGAGTTATTATAAGCTGTGTGTGATCTTGGCAAGTACAAGCAAGTCACAAAAATGTATTTTACTTATTTATTTGCAGCTGGCTGACACCTTTTTAAAATGTCTTTTGTGTACTGTTTTAATTTTATTATAAACTTGTTTACAGAAGGTTGAGTGGTAGCTAAGCTGAAATCAGATGTGGATGGCCTTATTTTACTAGTTCATAAAAATGTGTTCGGAACTGGAATAATGAATGAGGCAGTTGATATTTCATGCCTGTTTCTGGTCTAATTAGATTGGTATTCTATCAAAAAAAAGAAATCGTATAAATTCTGGACTAATAGCACTGGAGCATGGGATATTACTTCTCACTCTCTGATCTTCTTAACCTACTTGTGAAGTCTTGGACTCATGAAAACTTTGCAGAACATTTGTAATTTGATATAATACTGTCTGAAAATTTGAGAAAATAATTCAGTAGAATCAGTAATGACAGGAAATTGATACACAATATGTGAAGGAGGGTTTTCAGTGTTCTCATTGAAAACTAAGATCTAAAGGGCCAAATCTTTTTTCATCAGTTCCCTGATACCTAACATAATCACCAGGAGGATCAAACAACAGTTGCTTCTCACTCCTTATTTCAAATAAAATTCTATAAAATTCCTTTTCCTTAGCCTCATTTTCCTAATGGAGCAGAGATGTCCTAGAATAGTAACTTAGGACAATTCCCTTAATATAGGTAGCCAGAAGTGTTTGGCAAAGTAATGGCCATGAATTCATCGCAGCTAACTATCTTCAGGTTTCATTTTTGTGCTGCTTATGATAAATATGTCTGTTTTTAAATGTATTCTTTTCAGTTCTTCCATCAAAATATGTATTTGTAAAAAGGTTTTTGTTTTCATTTTTTATTAAGATCTATGTAGAGGAAAAAAATTCCTACCTTTATCTCAAGCAAGTATGTATCCATAACATTCCTATAATATCTGTGAGAAGAGTTTTATAATGAGTTTGGTCTCATAAAAATCTGTTTTATGGACTAGTTCACGGAACTAAAAAAACCTATTTACTGCTTACAGCTTCCCAGATTGTTTTCTTAGCCAGGAGTAATACTCTCTTCTAGTTCAGTTTGCTTTTCTTTCTTATCTCTTACTCCATTATACACTACATGAACCCTCTTGGATCAGCTTCCTGGATGTATGTAAACATACATTTCTTAGTTTCTCCACATAATTGTCTTCTGTGATGAATTTAAATGTGAACATCAATGACAATACACTGCTAAATTGGAATATAAAGTTACTATATTCATGAAGACTGAGAATTTGTTAGAAATTCTCTACCAGTTTCCTTACCAAATCACTCTTTTTTAGTTTTTGTACAAAGTTTGATGCTTAGTTAGGAGTCTTCAATAAAATTAAACAGTACTGCTAAAGCACCTAGTTTTTTGTTCTTATACTCGAACATCTTTGAGGTGTTTTGCTTTCTTAGAAGTAAGGTCAAGCAACAATCATTGATAAAGCTGACATTACCATGATGATCATGCTCATTACCATAAAACAAGAAAATCTTTTTTAATTTTAAATACTTTCTCAGTGTTGCAGAAATAATATAAAACTGACTCCTGTGGGGCAAAAAAAAAAAAAAAAAAAACTGCTGAGAAGAAAGTTAATAACTTTGCTGTTGCCATCAATGGAATTAGATTCTAACCAAATTATTACTATATTGCTTAATAGAAATTAATCCAACTGCTTACTTGATCTTTGGTTTTTGATGAAGAAGAGTTTTAGTCTCTCTTTAAATGTGTTTTCATTCATATAGAATTCAACTTGCACCCTGAAATATAAAAAGAAGATTAGAATTGAATAAGGAAGACAATAAATTATCATTTTTTCAAAATAACTTTCCCTAATCTGTTCTTTCTGTATGACCAGTGGAACATTTACTATTCAGCCAAAGGCTCACTCAGATTTCAATGACTTAACATTAAAAAAACTGGAGATAGATACATACATAATTTATCTCCTTTACATCCAGATCATTTTCATAATACCAGAACACTCTGCACTGGAAAAGTTGGAAGCCTCTATGTTTTTAAATTTTCAATGCAAGATTACTTTCATATCTGCATGCTTGTAAGGAAGATTTCATTGATGTTCAGGTTAAATCTTCCATCTCCATTTAACTATTTCTGTAAAATTGGCATTGTAATGATATTTTTTCTATCTTATTGGTGTATTTGTTAAACACTCATGTCTGAGAGTTCACCTTTAATCAAGTACTCCCACCCAAAACAAACCATTCTCTGAACTCCATTTTTTGTCACAGTAAAATACTGAGACCTGAGAGCAAAATTATATTGCCATCATCCAACGTTGTACAGAAAACAGTTCCCCTTCCTATTTATGCTACTAAAACAACAGTGACTTCCTCACTTCCTCACAATTTGCCCAGACCTCTTTCATGTCTGTCCCTCAATTCATTCTGAGCACAACTCTTGCAACAGTGGTCAAACTACAAGGGAAAAGAACAGCATTGTGGAGTACACTAATCATACAGAAAAAATTTAAGCAATTCCAGAGCTGCGCTGCTGCCTACCCTAACATAAATGCAGCATTAGCTTCACTTCCACAGAAGTCCTTCCGTCCTTCCTATCCTGCTGTGATGCCTGTGCTGTTCTGCAGCACAGCTGGAGAAATCACAGTGCAAACTGTTGCCATTCACAGTAAGTCTCCCTCCAACCCTGATGGAGTAGCAGTATTAAACGCCAGCATGCCAGGCTGGCAGCAAAGTCTTGTGGCTTTTATTTTAATTTTTTTTTCAATTGGTTGGAAACAGAAATGGTGAGGTACTGACAGGCTGACTCCTGTTCTTACCCCTGCCATCAAAATGGTTCCAAAGAATGTTTATCAATCAGGTGATAGGCGCTTTATATATAAAAATATCAACTAATTGAACTTCTTTCACCAATTTCACTTATCCAGTAACTAATCCTCACTCGCTTTACCCCAGCACAATTTCTGTTCCTTTTTGAGAAGACCGTACTTGGTTTGGGAACCACCATACTACTTCTAAAGGGACAGCATGAAAGTGAATAAGCAATTAAACTGCCACCTGTTCAAAGAGTGGTAGAAGATCTTTAAAATTCTGTGCAATGAAATGTTTGATGAAGCTAAGAGTAAATCCTATCATATACTAGCTTTCCTGCCCTACCTGGCTCTACTTTTGAGATGAGATCTTTAAACATTTTGTAATAAAGGGAAGGAATGCATCTGTGTTTCTCTTTTTAAATTAAGAGTAGCCACAAGTGCATATTTAGTAGAATTTGAGCTCATAGGGATGCCCTAGAAATTCCCACCAACCTAGAAGAAAAGCCTATCAATTAACAGCCTAATTTTAAGCTTTGATTGGGGTTAAACAGAGTAAGAGTTATGATATTCAAGACAGCAGGAGTTATTGGCATTAGCAGAAGTACAGCTTAAATTATTGGTAATGTTAAGGAAAGTTATGGAAACATGTCCAGTGGTTAATTACAAGGTGAGAAGGTTTGTGAAGGCCTGAGTTTTGCTTCAGTTCTTTTCACAGAATCACAGAACTGTAGGCATTGAAAGGGACCTATTAGGGCTATAGAGTCCTACCCCTTGATAAAGCAGGTTCCCTATAGTAGGTTGCCCTAGGAAGGCATCCAGATGGATCTTAAATATCTCTGGAGAAGGAGGCTCCACAGCCTCTCTGTGCAGCCAATTCCAGTGCTTTGTCACTCAAACAGTAAAGAAGGTGTTCCTTGTGTTTGTATGGAACATTTCCCAAGGTATTTACTGTCACTGCATTAGTGACAGTTTTAGAGAGAAACAGTTCTTGCATTTTGGCAGGTGCAACACGATAAATATATATACGTAATTTTCAAGGATATATTTCAGTAGGTAAACAAAGTGGCATAAGCATCTGAAGTGAGGGATCTTATTTAAAAGGAGTGAGTACAGTATTGGTGATCTTTTTTTACATGATTTAAACTAATCCTAGATTTTAGGTAAGAAAATTACAGTCATCACTTACAATGAAAGAACAACATGTTAACAGAAAGCTGTGAATTAATGATACTGTGGAAAGAGGATGTGGGAGCTAATCAGACTCCTATCACTGCTGCTAAGGACTGCTCTGATAGCCCTCTAGCAGCTGTCTGCTTCTGCTTCGCTGCCCTTAGCAACCAGTGCTCACAGCAGACTGGAATTCCACACTGCAGTCGTTTCCATGGCAAAATGTATTACAAATGCTGCTAACACCACTCCTATGGCTCAATTCTTCCTTCTTCCTCTGATTATTTTTGAAATTCACTAAAAACTATAGTAACCTTCTACATCTGCAGGAAATGCATTATCACACACATGATCACCATACAATTCCATCATACTCTGGCTACCAGACAGAGAGTATCTCACTTATTTAGTTGACTATTTACTAAGAATAGATGGCTGAAGGAGCCACAGGTAGTGATGAGGATAGGAAACCTTGGATACTGTGCTTTTGTTCAATATTCTCCTTTTGATTTTTAGTATTTCAGACGTTGTGGTCTTTTTTACCCCAAGTGTTTACTCTTTTCTGTCTCTTTCCTTCTATAAACTGTAACGTGGAAAATGAGAATTTCTGGAATAGAACGCACATTCTGATCCTCACTTGTGGTGTTATTATTGCCTCTTATGAAGAGGGAAAGCCTTGTAGAAGCTTTTCTGGACCCGTTACAAACTTGGTAATTAGGATGTTTCAAGTAAGTGAAATTCATTACAATGTACTACTTATATGAAACCTTGTTCTATTGCAGCAGAAACACTAGTTGGAATTTGGATCCAAGCAGTGGAAGGGTAAAAGTGTGGTTCTGGTGCTGATTGAATGAGAAACATGCAGGACAGACTGACTATCTGTGTATGTAGATGACCTGACCTATGTTTTGTTTTGTTTTGCTTTAGTTTTGTTCTGTGTTTGTACTGTTCTTCATGTTTTTCTTCTCCCTGTACCAAGGCAGTCACAGTTCAGTCCCTGGTCAAAAAGTAAGTCAAGCTGATGGATTAATACACTTATCCTTGATGATAGACAGAAATACTTAATGAATGCTGGACCTTGTATAGATAGCTAGTCGATCGTTTCAGACTTTTTCTATGTGCTAGGAATTGAATGTTCATGAAAATCTGACTAAGGGAGTTAAAGAACAGGTCAAATGCTTTACTGACTCTTGGTTCAGCTTTACTGAAAATGCACAAATACAAGTAAATGTATCTCTGGCACAAATAACTGAAATGATTTGCTTCTCTTGAAAACATAATGCTAGCTTTAGCACATGCAGGTGGTTCATTTTCTAAAGCTTCTGTTTAAAATTATATACCCTTAGTAGTGGTTTTCTATATTTGAAAATCAGAGAATAGTGATGTCAGTGGAATCTTTCAATCACATCTTAGAGTACCTAAAGTACAATTATATATTATACACTGTTAATCCAGTCAAGATGTAATTTGAATAGTACATTTTAATATAATATAGAATATAGTCACAAAAACACATCAAGGACACAAATTCTTTTCTCAAGACTGTAAATCACTGGAACCAGTTCCTTAACTATGACTGCATGTTTGTCACTGCTATTTATATATGCAACTCTAACTCCTTAGTCATGTTTTACAGTAGTTACATTATCACCTTGCATCCTCAATTTTACATTTTTTCTCTTTTGTGTTAGAAAGTAGTAAGTGTGGCAGAAATAATTCCTGCAAAAATGAAAGTATGATTGGGATTTCTCGCTATGTGCATGCTAAGAGAGGAAAATTTTAATGTTTACTGTTTCCTGATATTGGAATCAGGTTGGTCCAAGTAGAACCAAATTGAAGGAAACTATATCTATTAACTGAATCTTTTTTTATGGGAAGGGAAATTTCATGTTGTCTTTCCTGCAAGAAGAAAGTTGTATAAACAGTCCTTTTTAATTGGGATTTTCAAATCCAATATATGTGAAATTGTGTTAGATGTCAAAATTTAAAGTTTATATAATATGGTGTAGATAGCTGCTTCAAAATGAAGTCATTTCAGTGCAAAACGGATGTATTTATTTTTAATTCACTTCTAGAAAAAGTCTTGTGTATTTTAATGATGACTATCTTGGGTAGATTCCCTCCTTTAGGAAGTTTTTCAAGTTCAGACATACTCAGTACTCTGATTTGGTTAGAGCTTCACAGAGAAGTCATCCTATTAACACAATGTACTTTCCAGGCGAAAAAGCAAAAGTTAGATGGCAGACACTTCTACAACTACAGCAATCTATTCATTCAATCTGTACTCTCTGAGGATATAGAGTCATGAAGCCTGCCTGGGTAAACCACATATGTTGCATGAAGGAATTAGAAATTATTGTTCTTAGAGTATTTTCTACTTTTATATTATTGTGTTTTACTGCTAAATACCAAACTTCTGACTGCGTAACATTTCCAATGAATTGCTACCTCAGTAAGATTGTCTCCTCTCATTTTCTCCAAATAAATAAATAAATAAATAAATAAAAGTCTTAGTAAGTACACTAAGTAGTTACATTTATATCTACACTCAAGCTCTATCCTAAGCACCACCCCTGGCCATGCAGCATGTTTCAATTGTTTATAGCCTTACATCTCTTCACATTCTTGCTCCTACTTCCTTCTTTGGTCCCCTGAGATCTCTCTTCTTCTTCATGCTCAGATGACAGTTTACATCTCATTCCAATTCCTCCTCCTCTCTATTCCTCCATTCAAATTTTAAACTTCTTCCTATTTCTTCATAGATTGTCCTATACTACAGTCCCTTACAGAGTTCACCTT